AAGCCGGCTGCAATCCCTTCGGCCGACTTCCAACCACGCCCACTTCTGAAGCCGTTCAGCTCCCTTTCTAGCGGCTTTCCAAGGTGAGTTTTTGTTCAGTCACACTTCTTATGTTCTTGACTAGGACTAGCACATCGTTCCTCGCCATTAGTGTCGAAGGGTGCTCGGACTGTTACCTTAAAACCCGGTCTAAAAGCGCAAGAGCGGAGCAGCGCCACTATGTCAGTGATTATTAGTAAATAAGGTCCCCCCTCCCCTAAAAATCTTGCTGGCAGAAGAAAATATTCAGAATTGATGAGAGGAAACCTAAAGCTCCAAGTAGGATTGGCCCCTGGTTTGCTGTTATAGTACTTCAGAAAAGGAAGTTACCGGCATTGTCTTGTCACCGAAGAAATGTATAGTGTCGAAATCTTTTTCAATGAATTGAAGGCAGTAGGTCTTATCCCAACCGACAGGATACGCATCAACACTGATTTGTCCACCTAAACAAGGAAGAAACGAGCTCGAATATTGATACAGGGCTAACAAAGTTAGAATACCTATTACAAAGCAGAGTCCATACTCCGAAAACTTCTCCTCGAGCGCTTTGACAAACTTCTCCCGTATTTTGTGCTCCTTATCATAAACAACGAACTGATCACGTTCTGCTTGCGAACAGCTTCGACCGATCGGCGAAAAATTAAGCATCCCCTGAAAATTTTAGAATAGGGCTAAATGTCAACAGTTCAATTTTTAACTCCTGATTTTGGCAGATCGCCATATGAACATTTCACAAGAATGCTCGGTTATGGTTATGGAATGGCTAAGTATACCACTAAAAGCTGAGTCAAGGTAACGGTGCCTCGGCGCCGTAATTTGTAGCATAACCGCATTGGATCAAGAGGTCCTCCCCCCTCTATCCATTTATTTCTGTCTCTGGGACTTCGTGGAACCGAATTATGAGGACTAGTAGGAAACATCGTCCACTCAAAGACACGCACCGCCCATCGCGGGTGGGTCTTCGCTCACATTATGTATGCTGGAAACACCTTAGATACAAAAGGCGCTTGACTGTAAGGGGGATCCCTGGTTTTCTTTGAATCTCTTTCTTTCAATACTAAACATTCGCGCATCTTCGGTAAGCATTCCATGTGTTCCAGCACAATACCTACTCGCAGCCGCCTTCCAACAGCAGCCATGGGTGCCTTAGGCCGATGTCAGACTTTGCGAATCGCGCGATTCGCTAGCGTCCGCGGTCGCGTTGCGGTACCAGCCAATTGAGTGATTCACTGGCCGCGACGCGACCGCAGACGCTAGCGAATCGCGCGATTCGCAAAGTCTGACATCGGCCTTAAGGCCACATCTTCAAATGCTCACCTTTCTAAACTCGACGGAAATTGCCGCGTTTCACTGGTAGTGTTATTTCAGAGAAGTACCTTAGCACAAAATTAATCAGCTTCTGCAACTTCTCCTCGCCAATATGGATCTTGTATAGCCTGAAAGTTATTTTACACCATCCATGAATTTTTCTTAGCTATCATAAGGAGGGCAAGTGTAACAGCTTTTTGAGTACTAGAAAACTCGCAATTTGTGACTGCCACCTAATGATGAGATCATGCTGTGCTCTTCTTTGCATCCCAACATGTTTCAGGAAATTACAGCCTTTTATGAAAACAATCGTGATAGATTATGAAAATCTACCGTATGCGATCCCCGTACTTAAAATCTTTCTGGTTCATCAACTCACTTTGGAAGGCAACATTTGCTTGCCCTTGAATCCAACTAGTCCATTCTCAGAGAATACGAAATCAAATCGTGATAACACTGAAAATTCGATATTGCTCAATTTGCAAGAATTCGTCAAAACCCACGTTTCTACTCTCAATTAAAAACAGTTTCCATGACCAGTTATGCCTCGGAGAGAGAAGAACACTTCTCAAAATGAACGCTTAATCGCTCATATGCCAGCGCGCATTCCAGCAAGCAGTAGGTAAGGGGAGAGGAGGGAGACATTTGCTAAGCACCCACAGCATGCGAGGAGCATTTTGCCTCCACTCAGAAGAGAGGAGGGAGCTCTAAGGTGCTAAACATGCGCTTGAGGTGCGTCGATATAACGCGCTGCAATGAAATTCAGACGTATTTTCTCATCATAATCACTCATGAAGTTTTTTGGCCACTGGTAAAAGGGCGTGGTCAGCGAAGTGGGTGGGACTATTGAGGCAAGACCCTAATTCTCGATGGTGCCGGGCGTTCCCAACAGGTAAAAGGGAGTGAACTGCTAATTATCCTATTGAGAAAACTGCCTGAAAAATATGTGAGGATTAAGAACGCACAGTCGTCTTGATTTTCTGCCAACTGTTCTACAATTTTTCGCGAGATCCGATCCTCCGACAACGGCCACAGGAACGTGTTGCCGTACTCTCATCATAAATTGACGGATATCCTCATGCATCTTCTGAAAACGATGATTCTTCCTTACAGTAAATATGAGATTTGATCGACTTTATCACTTTTTTGAAAAAAAAAAAATGGAACCCATCTGGCAGCAAAAAGAACTGACTTGTCTAGCTGGAGTGAGGGTGCCATCGACGTCAAACACTAGCACAGTCTTTTGCATACTCCTACTTGTTTTAAGGTACCGCACAAATGACCTAAGAATCTGAAACAAAGAGAAATCAGTTCTCATAGAAGGGTATTTCTGAACTTATCAAGAAACTCAGTCAAAATACAGCTTTCATACGAGGACCTGAAGCGTTGCTTGTGAACTGAAGCATCACTGAAAAACTATTCCCTCTCCCAGCAGACGTCATGGGAAAATACAACCTAGTAATGAGAATGGCGTAAAAGCGGAGTCATGGCTTACATTTTCCTAACGTAACACTCGCAACGACCAATCTCTGGACTCGGGTGCTTGCACGTAATGCCAATACGCAACAACGGACGCTTAAGGTAATTTTTTCCGCAATGTGCGGCCCCAGAAAAGCCGAATTTTCCTTATTTGGAGCGCAATTTTTACGATTCAATGGGTCGTGCATACATTTGCACGCGCCTTATACTACATATTGAACATGAATGCATTCCGGACAAAGGTTTCAGATATCTATGAGCAAGAAAATGAAAATCACAGAGATTCAAAATCTCATCACCGGGCGGAATCGGAGCGAAGAGTTTGTTTCTATGACGCTAAGAAGCGAAAAAGAAAGTGAATTCTCCTTCCAAGCTTATCGAGCCCTACTTTCCATGCCTCTATTTTGCCTTCCATCCAAATCATCTCCTCCTTTCCGTAGTCAGGAGCCAGAATTTGTGATGCTACATGTCCGCTGAAACCAACTTCCCTCCCAGTTGTGGTGATGAGCATGAACTTGCTGCTTAGGGGCAAAATGCCAGCAGGTACAGAGAGAGAATTACAGTTTCCTCTCCAACTTACGCTTAAGTATGCTTTCTATGATTCATTTATTTAATTGGCTTGTACGAGATATAAGAAACTAGGGAACTAGCTTCCCCATTTATACCACTCTAACATACTGAAATTAAAGTTTATTTGAAAATAATATATGTATATATGTTTACAAGCAACCGCACCATTCTTAGTACCATGCAAAATGCAGCTACATAATACAGGCAGTTATGATACTCGGCATATATTAGAAGACTGCAATAACAGTAGCTTCCGCGCGTCTACTTACATCGTGTACTCCCACCACCGTGAGCGACGAGATCGAGATAGCGTACGGAGTTTGGAAACACAGAGGAGACAGCTTTTATTTGAAATAGTAGCTTGGCTCGATCACTGGCGGCTGAAATAACAAGATTATATGGACGATTTACGCCGTAGATCTTACCATTCCATGACCAATCGCAGAACTTGAACCGCTAACCTTTGAGGCCGGCGTCAGACTGCGAATCCAGCGACTCGCTAGCTAATCGGGTAACGAGCGTTGCGTCAGTGAATCGAGCTGTATACCAGCGGTTCAAACGATGTACCGCGACTCGACACTGTTTGAAAGTGTCGGGATTCAATTTGCTGGATTCGCAAAGTCTGACATCGGCCAAACTTCCTGGGCAGTTGTGCACTGATTACATCACCAAGGCGAGTTGCACAGTCACTCAGTTTTCAATGGTGTGTTTCTTCTGTTTTTGTGTATTTTTTTACACAATTCTGACGCCAGGATAACAAGGATAAAATGCACTGCTACCTTAGAGAACGCGTGTCCCACAAGTGAATGAGGGCGCTGGCCATTCAAATTCGGATTACATGCGTAACTCTGACATTATAGAATTTCGAAGCACTACGGAGCAATGACCCTTAACATCTAAGCAACAAGCGTGAACTCCGGATCTCGTGGGAAATTTTCGCTGATCACGAAAGAATTGCCAAAAAAAATCCTATGCGAACAAATACGACTAGTACAGCACCCGATATATGGCTTGATTGCAAGAATCTCCTATCGTTTTTTGTTCAAACAGAATCTACCCTCATCGAATCGCTTGCACATTCGAACTTCGACTAAATAGTAGTCTTCTTATACCACTCCTCGGAAAAATCCTTTCTGTTTTCCCCGGTATCATGAGGCTTGTTGTCCTGCTTTCACATGGCGTCCTGGTTCAGCGACAAGTGCTCTTAACTATACGTGAATCATAATTGTGGCTCCTAGAAATCCTGCTGGGAAAAGAGCACCACCCCAATAGTACAGGCATTTAAGGTGGTGTCCACTCGTGATCACCTCAAACTTGTTACAGTCTTCATGCACTTCCTATTTGCACAGAAAGTTTTCTCCTTACTTGTTTTTGACTTCTATTACAATCGAGTGAGTCACACACTCACTGCTGTTCTCTGACTACTTTTGTTCCGAAGTTACGTATGCTTAAAAGCTACAACGCGCGCATTCATAAACGAACAAAGATAAACAATGACAATTTAATACCATAGTTAACAATTAAGGTCACTTTACACTTACTTGGAAGTTTAGCAAGGAAATTACGTCTCCACGAGTAGAAATGCCCACAGACACTACTTTTCTTCTTTCGAGAAGCTCGTCCAGTCGGGTCAAAAGATTCATACGTTCACATTCTATCGTACCGACAAGCACCTAGGTGACGGAGATAAAGAATCTATCACAGACCTTAAAAAGAGAATGACTACCTGCACCCATCGATGATGCTGAGTACAGTCTTTACGAGGTGCACAACAGAACCCTTGATCTTTGAGGAGATCTGGCCCATGCTCGAACATCTCAGCGAATGTAAGCGACTTCCCCTCAGACCATGCCTTGGGGTACGCACACACCTGAAGAAACATTTGGACCATTTCATTATTATACCCCCCCCCTCTACTCTGCTTGTTTACGAAAGCGATGCGATAAAGTGAACAGGAACAGTCTGACCTGTAGTTCATTTTCAAGATCTCCTTTGTAGTGTTCAGCGCAGATCACTCGCACTCGCTTACAATACGTGTTGTTTAATTTGTTGTAAGCTTCACAGAAAAGATTGTCTGGATTAAACGAAGCCTGAAACGGATCACGATCTACGATTTAAGAACTCTACTCATGGCAAATAAAATTAGATTCGGTGATACCAGTCCGGAAACTAGCAATGGAAAATGCAAATTGGTTTCCGGCAATCTACAGAAGGAAAGCAAAAAACAGCAGTGATAACTTTCGGCTAGCTTTTTTTGCATTTCAGTACGTCTTTGTTGTCCTCTAACATGTCACTGAAATGGTGTTAATTCTTAAGCGCTACCCTATTGTAGAAAACATTATATGGGGAGGTTACTTCCCAAGAAACAGAGCTACGCTCGCTGTACAAACATTTGCCAGTTAAGGATAAAGTTCGGTCATCGTTTGCGATTTCCTTGAGGTTCGCTAGCAGCTCGAGTGTGTAGAGTTTTTTGATCGTGAGATCGCAAAATCGCACGATCGACACATTCGAGCTGCAAGTGAACTGCGAGCGAGTCGCAAAACATGACCTTGACTTAGAAACCACCCATCAGCTTAATTTTCCAATTCTTGCACACCCGCCTATATTACAGAGATAAGTTTGCTCAAAGAAGCAAATCGTTAAATTTGTCATAAATGGAACTACTGTAACAAAAAACTTACAGGAGTAGCAGTCCCGAAAGATGTTTGCTTCTCTGAGCGCACAAAGCAACGTTCTACATGCTTTGGCAGCTGACGCCCATTTGTTTCCATACCACACACGGTACAGCTCGCCATCTTAATAATAGAGCTAATGTGAAAATTTGATGAAAACAAAGTAGAAATTTTGAGAACAAAAAAACTCACAAAGTCAACATCCCCTGCTTCATCGTAGCTCACTGATGTCGTCGACTTCATTGCCTTCAAACAAAGGATATGCTTATCACCTTGAAAACGAAGAAGATGGAGAT